AATGCCAGAGATCTAGTCTTCTCATCCAGTGGATTTATTTATTTTCTTTGCAAAATTCTGTGTAAAATTGCCCAGTGACTGCAGATGAACTGTTTCTTGTGGCTTTGTTTTATGTAGCCTTGGACATTTTTAAATGGATCTCTTTGATATATTGTATTGCTGCTGTGGGAGCTCACTGCCATGCAATCTCAAGATAATATAAGTACTTGAATATTGTGGAATTTGCAGTGACTGATTCCAGTTTTAGGGATGGAATTTCAGTTATAAATTCTGCAAGGATACCTTTCAAAAGTTAGTTTGTAAAGAACAGACATCCATTTCTGAAGGTTAACTTGAAGGTTAACTGCAAGAGAAATGCTGATTTGCGTTGAAGGCTGCTTAGAGCCTTCTCTTTATTGGTACTGCAATCTGCATAAAGACTTCTGAAGTGCCCGAGTCTAACTACTGCAGTCTGTATGGCAGCTGTAGTATTTACACAGCAACTGAGCTATGATGCTCTGACCTGGTTTGGACAAAAATTTAAGCCTGGTTGCTTAAGGTCTGGTGCTTTGGCATCAACCAATTTTTTCAGTCCAGATCTATACTACAGTTTCTCTCTCTCATCCATGTGGCATGCAATTTAATTTTGGTTTGGGGAAGTACGAGTCTCATGCTCTCAGTATTCCCCTCCCTCCACAGTGTACAGTGGAGGGAGTGGAATCAGTATAGGCTGGTGGGCTAAATGCTCAACTTGGCTTTTGAGCGAAAGAGGAAAAATCTCAATGTGAAATTAATTTTCAGTATTCGTTTACACATAAAATGCATTCAATATACACTAATCTGTGCAGTCTCTTAACAGATTTCTTGCATTCTTCAGAATATCAACATGAACGAAGTTTGCTCCATTCATCCCTCTCTAGCTCAAAGTGGTAATTTTGTTTGTGTGTCTTAAAGAGGGTGATGTTATCACACCAGTGTTACCTTAGTCTTTGTATGGAAATACGTGCGATGTCAAAAGGAGCAATGTCTATTAAAGTAAATTGTAGCACCTGCCCGTTTGTCCAGGCATTGCATCCAGGGATTGATTCTTAATCTCCTTTATATTGACATGAATCAAGGGTAGCGCAGTAACCATAGAAAACAGCTTCCAAAAACATACAGTGCTTTTGGTAATTGATCATGCTCCATCTTAAAAAAGATAGATTGGATTCTTGCTCTCATCTCACTGCTGCAGTGTATTGTTCTAAGTCTAGTCGTAATGGTTGATTTATGTCTGTTTGTTCTTGGGCCAACATTGTTATACATCTTAAATAATTAATTTCCCTGCTGGTGTCTTTACCAAAAGCACTAATAGTCCCAGCTCATTGTTATGAGAGGTTTTCGTCTCTCTCGGGACATGGGTGACAAGAACTTTGTAGTATCCCAAATAGGGACTCAGTCATACTTACAGGGTGGCATCAGTGCTATCCTGCCTCTGGCGTCTTTATCTTTAGTGGTACACTGTAAATATATTCTTGTGCTTTTCACTTCTTGCTCTTTGAACCCAGTTCCTCCACCAGATTTAGTAGAATCAGTCAGGTGCAAAGTAACAGCCAGGAAGTGTAAGACTGTTCTTTCAATTTTCCTAAAGGGCTCAGCCGTCTCATCAGGTTGTTGCAGTGTAGAAAGTTACTGCTTGGCACTGGAGCCACTGAGAGTTAAAGGTACTTGGAGTCTATTTATGAGTAGTCCAGGAGTATTTTTTTTCTCCTGAATTTTCAGCTAAAATTGGAAACAACGAAGTTAAAAAAGTCAGGTGAAGAGAATATAACTCACTAATTACCATGACTGTTCTCATGCACGATAACTGATTTATAGTAACTGTAGTGTATGTCTGAGGATGTCATTAAAATTGGAGGGACAAATTTTGTGATTGTTCAAGTGAAGAAATAATTATACTTTTGACTCGTGTTCAGCCTCTAGAACAAGTTCTGCTGTAAATCAGCATGTGTTCCACTTCAGCCACTGCCCTTATTGATATCCGTTAGCCCTTTGCATATACTTGTCTCTAGGCAAAGACCATCAAATCTGAGTTATGGAGTGCCTGGCATCACTGCTGCTGCTGAATTATAAATTAGTACATTTACAGAGTCAGTTAATCTTTAGTATCTTGTGTGTGGCTGATTTAATGTATATGCACCAAAAAAGAAAAAAAAAAAAAAAAGTACAGCACAGAGAGCTGCTGTCTTCTCCTAGCTTTTCCACTTTTCACAAGCCCCAGGAGGGAGTGCAAGCAATCCAGTGCTCTTTTTTCTAAGGTCATGAGGCAGGGCCTCAACCAGGAGAATGTGGGCACGGAGAGGTACGTGCTGTTACCTGGGCTAGGAGCCGTGTGGGCAATGGGTGCTACCTGCAGAGTTTCAACAGCACCTCCAGCTGATCAGGAGGTGATTTCTATCTGTTCTTCCACAGTCAGCCTCTCTTCTGCTCCACTGCTCCCTCTACAAGAGGAGCCGTGTCTGTATTTTCAGGGACAAGGCCTGCCTACCAAAGGTGGGACCCCTCTCACACACCAGCAACAGCAGTGGCCTCTGCCTACCTGAGAGGGCTGCTATTCCTGGTCCTAGTCTGAAGATTTTGTGTGAAAGGGCTGTGCAGGAGTCTGTGGGGAGCCAAAATGAACGTAGCAGCACAACATGAGTGTGGGCTTGGTTTTGGACATCTGGAGAGTTGCTGATCCCATTAACCTCTATTCCTTATCTAACGAAGCTGGGGTTTTCAGTTTCCAGAGAGCTCCTGTGTGCAACAGTTTGTTTCAAAAATATGAAGTTAATATATCCTAGATGGCATCTTCTTTTTCATTATTTATATTACTTCCTTTCCAACATTCATTGTGTTTCTAATAATATTTTTTCCAATGGCATAATTTAGTATGACATTTCGTAAAGTGATCCCAAACAAGCAGCACTTGAATTGTTATCTGTGGAGGTGCATCACTATAATGAGTTTTATGTTGCTGAAAAACATTAAATTCTGCACAGACTTGTCGTGTCAGTAGACTCCTATTTGTGCTTAGAGTAACTTTTTTTGGAAGAGAAATACGGGATCTAGATTTACATGCATGCCCTGCATCCCGTCTGATGACATAGCAGTTCCTCTCTTAACAGTAAACAATCAAATGCTTTGCTAACCTTTAGCAAAAGCACATCCAGCTATAATCACTGCTTTCTGCCTATGGTCTCTGTGAAATGCATCGAGTCTCAGGTTTTCCAGCAAGCTGAGTGCTAATGTTTGGGATCAAGTACAAAATGGAACTGAGGACTAAGGGATTGATTCGTCTGTCTCATCAGACTGATTTAGTATCAGTGACTTCAGTGGCACTGAGACTGAGATCCGCCAGTGGGAGGAGAGAGTCAGGCTCAGAGATCAGTCTGATGCTCAGAGAGAACATAGTATTAGAGAAAACTGTCTATCAAAACTGATGAGAGGCTTTTGGAAGCGAAAATACCACTTCCAGAGCCTGATCCGAAATACACCGATACCAGCTGGAGTTTTTGCTTTTGGGTTCTAGTGCGCTGCATCCTAAGTCATTATATTCTGCATGGCTTTGCTATTTTTTGTTTGTTTGTTTGTTTAATTCTTTGCATATCGACATGGTAACTTTTCTGATGCTGAAAATTAAGCCTTAAATAAGAACCCAGTGTCTGAAGGTCTTTGTTGCTGAACATAGTGCCTTCAGTCCACTTGTGCATGTTTCCCCCATCCCTTCAATCAGTTTTCTAAATCAGTCAAAAAACATTTGCAGGCTGGAAAATGAACAAAAAAATCTCCCTTAGAGAAAGGTGAAGATTGAATTAACTCCTAAAATACCATTTGGAAGGATGTGCTGACTTTTGCTTCTTCTGCAGACTGTAATACCTAAGCATTTTCATAGGCAAGACAATGGGGCTACATTTGTCCATTATGTTCTTGTCTGTCCTGGCAGCAGATACAGATAGCTTCTGATTGCTTCCTCTATCTGAAGGCCTCCCTACCTCAAGTGCAAAGTCAGGCTTTCTAAAACCTCTCAGCAGGACAGCAGACACCAAGTTGCAGTCAAAGATTTGGATGCTGTACATTAAGCCCTCAGGAGGTTTCTCTTTTTGCAATCATCATACCAGTAATCTGGAAAGGATAAAACAATTCAGTTTCTCAGAGAAGCCTCAAGTACAGGAAGGGAAGGACCAGAAGAATCCCTTCTCCAGTTTCGGTTACCACAAATTCCCAGAATTTGGTTTGTACGTTCATTAGGAAAAGAACTGTGTTAATCTTCCTGCAGTAGTATGTATAAGTAAAATATTCTTACAAGTACTTCTATAAAACGGTATGTCCTGTAAAACAGGAATCTCATCATTCTTGCAGAGCTTACTTCATGCATTTCTGTGAGCCTGTGTATGAAGAACTGCACGATAAAACCGATTCATTTTTAGTACAACTCAGTCTGCTGCATTGGTTTTACAGCGTATTTGTCTTTGTAACGTTAGCACACTGCTGTGTGGCAGCTTTAAGGTATTATAGCAGAGCCTGTGCACAAGAGAAGATATGTATATAATTGTAAACCAACAATAGCAGGTCTTTTTATAATGTTTTCATCTACAGTATATAAAACAAGTCCCTGATTTGAATTATTTGCTGAGCTAAATAACGAGACTAACAATATACCTAAAATAGAGAAGATCAGGCAATAGAAATACCCACAGTTTCAGTAAGGATTAAAAATTACAGATCTGTAAAAGATGCTAAAATGTAAGTAAAACAAACAACCCCTGGCACTGATCAAAATTAGTGTCAGTCACTGATTTCTAGAACACACAAAGAGACGGTGAGTATAAATGTGTTACTTACAAGTGCTGAGGATTTTAGGGAATGAAAATGGAGACCAGGAGCTGGAGACTGCCTGCCATGCCAGCAGTGTTGATTTGGAAGCGATGGACACAAATAAACGTTCAGCAAAGCTTAAAAAACTGCAATGCAAGGCTAGCCAAAAGTGTCCATGTCCTTACCGTGCTGTGGCTGGCAGGCAATCCGTGTCTGGGAGCCTTCAGTCCCTCTAATCAGGCTCCGGGGATTTTGTTTGCAAGAGAGATTGTCCTTTAAGTGATCAGTGCAGGAAAACAGAGAAATAAAGAGAAATGAGCAAATTGTACAAGGCAAATAGCTGCAGGTCTTTAGCATGCTCCCTGCGTTTTCCTAAGCTGCATCTGCAGTAGAGAAAATATCCCAAAAATAGCTCAGGCTGCCAATGACTTGCTGAAACCTGAGAAAGAATTGCTGAATTTAAAGATCTGGGTTGCTGTGGGTGTATGATTAAAGTGAGAAATTGCTGGCAGGAAGAACCTACGATGAAACCACATGTTTAAGGAGTAACTTGTGAGTTCACTGGTATCAGAACATGAGCTGACCTCTGATTTCCCCCTCCTCCAAGCAATGCCAGTTAACCCTTCGGAGTTCAGCATGGAAGAAAGTTCTGCAACAGGAGACTGGAGAGGAAAAATGACCAAAAAAGTTCTTTTCAACTGCAACATCTCTGATGCAGTGAGACTATTTTGTAGCAGTGCCGTACTTAATAAATTTCAAAGCAGTCAGGCAAGCTGATGTTTTGCAGAGGTCTTGGAAATTGCACGGTTCTAATTTCTGAAAACCTCTGCCTTCTGTGGGGTGTATGTTAAATTCCTCCTTTAAGCCATTTGTAGTCCCACAGAGTGAAAACATTTCAGGTAACATTTTGCAGGAGAAAGGGTGCTATAACACTTTGAGAATTTTTTCTGCAAGCAGTGACTTATGGACAAAATTTCAAGAATCGCTAGAGTGTCACAGCCTCAGAGGAGACACTGGTGTCTCTGTGCTGTGCCCAGAACAAATGACAGGAGCCTAAGGACTGCTCCAGGTTGTTCTGGTCTGTAGAGGTGGCGCCTATGGATTCCCTGTGCTCACACAGATCGCTGGAGTGTAGCATCCTTCAGCCCCAGCCCTCAGCTTGCTCCCTGGCACTTTTTTATGTTACTTCCCTGATTTAGAAGAGAACAAGAAGCAGTTGGCACAAAGCTGGGTACATTGGCTTGAAGCCATTTAAGTTTCCCAAATAGTGCCAAAAGTAATCCTCAGTAACCTATTTAGGACAGTGTTAAAGCTGCCAGAGCATGGGCTAGGAGCTAGTCCCCGGTTTTCTTTGTACTGACACTGAAAAGGGAAAGAGCTTTCAGTGCTATATCTGGGTTAGGTTCAGCCACATGGGACTGGGTTATGAGAAGCTGCTGCTTTTGGAAAACAATTATGCATCTGAGAAAAAAGGCTGGATATTGCCCTTACTTCAGTGTGCGTTTGTTTTGCCATCAGATTGTCAAGTCATGCCAGACAATAATGGCATCGTAAGGAGAACAACATGGGTAATGTGCTTCAGCCACAGAGATGTGTGATCATTCCGTAGGACTGTCCACTTTAAAGGACAAGCCATGAAACTATACTTCTTTAAGAATATCAGAGCATTTTGTCTTGCAAATGCTGTGTGTATGGGAATATATTTAATATATACTAGTTGCTGTCGTTTCATGCTACAGCGAAGTTCTCTGGGGCTAAGGAGTTAGGCATTTGTCCTATGAAAATAAAGAAGTAGTTAAGTTGCACATTTACAAAGGCAGAGAATGCCTGGCTGTGACCTTCCCTTTTGCAGGTGCTTTGGAGGAAAACATGCATTTATCAGATCATTTGCTGTATCTGCAGTTCTGACTGTTCTGATCTGAAGTGTTCCAGAAGCTAGAGGAGCAGACACTGCCCGAAGTAGGCTGCTCAGTTGTTGTATTTATATGCCAACAGCCGGTCTCTGAAGTGCTTCTGCTGACCAAAACTAAATGTAGAGTATTAGAAATTATGGCCTAAATAATTATGACTCTCATGGTGTAGCATCCACTCCCAGACAAATAGCAGTAATTACTCACACATACTTCATATTGGTATATATTATCTCAAATTTAATGGTAAGCTCAAGAAGTCTGATTATGAATCTCCTAAAAAGCCCTAACAAACCTGTTCCTGTCTTTGAAACAGCAAGTGATAATACAAAAGACTGCATAGTCACCTTTTTAGTAAGTTAATAAAACCTAAAGCCAAGAATAATGGCAGCTAGTGGGTAATTCATCACATGTGGTACTCTGCTAGTGATACTTCAGCATAAGGCTACCATTAGAGGCTAGTATCTGTGTGGTAGTAGATGAGCTATGCATTAAAAAAGGAGATTTTATTTTCTACAAATGAGGTCATTAATTCAAACACTCTTTTTGTCTTTCCTTTTTATAAAGAGGTTGCTAATGCAACACAATAAAGCTGTGCTTTGTCTCGAACAATGGGAAACTTAGTATGCTGAGCCATTCTCTCTCTGTTGAATTTCATTAGTGCTGAGAGCTTAGAATATAAATTATACATATGAGATAATGCTTGTTTTTGTATTTTTTAACTTAAATATAACATGGGGCAAAAGTGAAAAGAAAAAAGTATGACAGATTTCTGAGCAGAGAACAGATGGGTGGTTTGGCATGGAAACAAAGACGGTAGCATACATTCATCGTTCTTAGAGTGAAACACGGGTGCTTATGGTGCCTATTAAATAGATGTATGGATCAAGTAGATCTCTTTCTGCTAAATGGGATGCTTTATATCATTATACCTCTAAAATATCTAGCACACTCTTGAGAGCTAAATGGTTGGATGCTCTTCTCTTTTTCTCCAGTTCAGTCGTTTCCTTAATATCACACGACTTGAGCACTCTGTAACCTAAGAGCTGGCTTTCATCTTTCCATAAAGAAGTAACTGGAACCAGTGCTGTCTCACCAAGGCTATGCTGTGAGCCTGTCGTATAAGCAAGTGTGAGCAGTAAACCAGCTGTGTGTCTGTGAGCACACCAGGATTTGGATTTGAGCATCCAGTGGCGTTTGAATGGTCTTGCCTGAAAGTGTTGGTTGATCTGGAGAAACACAGTCCCGTTCCTACCACTGCAATCTGCTGACCAGACCAGCGTGGCTGTAAATGAGAACTCCACTAGAGAAACTATTCGAGCAAAAACAAACTGTGAAATACAAGCAAATGTTTTACACACTTCAGTGGGGCAGGATGTCACCAACTGGTTTTCCTATCAGCCAGTCTGGTGTTCAGGGAACTCTTTGGAGTATGAACTTCAAAGTGGTGTCTGGCACATGTAACTCACTGAAGTAGGAAAATTCCCAGTGGATTGACAGATTATTATCTTTTAATGACAGTGCTAGAGTTGGTACAAAAAAAACATTTTGTATTACCCAAAACTGTAACCATGACTTGAAATAAACAGGCCTCACATGGCAGTCCTCATAAAATCGGTGGGAAGGGTACAGTGTCTTACAGTACAGCATGAGAACTGTAAGGATGAACTTAGTTGGAGTTGAAAAAGAACAAAGCTCACACAAGGGCTTTTAAAAGTCAAAACAAGCTAATCACTAAGTTAATAAAATATCTTAGCTACTAGGGTGGAGAAAATCCTTGGTTTAATTACATGAGGGAACATTGACCAAAAATCCTGCTTCCATTGAAATCAATAGGAAAAAAATTGATTCAGGGTGCTGGATGTGGTCCTTATTAAAGTAATAAACTTGGAGAAATCTGCTGAAAGTGTCTGTTAATGGTGAAATAATTAATGGCCTTGAGAATACAATAATACATTATGCTGTCATGAAATGCTGGAAATGAAACGCTCAGTGTAGTGCCCACAAGGGTAAGCTATCTTCTGTTCACTAGAACCTTTTGAAATCTGAGTGGTTGTGCCTCAATGGCAGCAGTAGTGTCCCAGGGCATATCATAATAATACATATCAGTGCCTTGACGGATATTTCTAGCTGAATCATTTCAACTGTAAGGGGCTGGGTTTGATAGCGTAGGGCAACCTGAGGTTGATGGATATGATTGCTGCAATTGTCTTTTTCTTTGTTTCGGTACAGCTAGCACTGTTTATCTGAGCAGTGTGCAGAAAGGTGCCAAATACCTCCATTATGGCAGAAACCTGAAAAAAGGACCCTTCCTGTACATTACAACTGAACCACAAGGGCTTGCTACGTCGTATTTCTGCCATTCTAGCTAAAGCTAATTGGATGCAGACACTTTCTGTTACCTACCAGAAGCTCTTCACGTTTCCTCTTATTTCTTCTCTCCACTTTTTACCTTTCTACTCTACTGTCTGGGACATTTCCTCTGTGTTTAAAACTCACTTTTAATCCCAATCTCCCTTGCCAAATGCATTCTTGTTGCATCTCATCCCACCCTGGTGTGTTCCAGGCCTATTCTCTTGTCCTGTGTCTTGGTTACCTTGATTAGTTGGAAACCTACTTTTGGGGTGGGTAAGTCTAATCCTGTATAACTACAGGAAAGGTCCCGACATTATTTAAGCTCTCTGTAAAATTTATTTTCTTTTCTTCAGAGGGCCAACTGACAGATTTTGTGAGATCCCTATAAGGATTCTGTCATAATCAGTGAAAAAGAAAATTAAAAAACCCAAACCACAGGAAAGCCAAAACCTTTCCCTCCCTCCAGGCACTTAGTTGCTCATCAGTCATCACTGCAAATCTCCACAACTGCTTTTGGCATCAGTTCAAAAATTCTGACTCCGTGCTATGCTTTGAGTGATTAATGACTAGCTCCAGAGATTTTCTCTGGTGATCCTCACATGAGACATAAAGGAATCAATTGCCTCAGCAATGTCTGGGAGCAGAGTATGTCAAGGATATAGTTTGCTTCCCCGAGTTTATAATGAAACATCTTACTGCATTCATTGCCCTAAGGTACTAATTTGATACATTCTGCATCTGCTTGGCCTGAGCATTGCAGATTTGCCTCAGCAAAGTGAGAGTATAGTAAGAAATTGATACTAACAACCACCAAAATCACACTTATTGCCATGCTGTGAAGCATTCAATGTTTGTTCAGTTTTTTATATACAATATTTTTTATCAGAACACTCCAGAGCAGCTAATTTTGGGATATTAACAACTCCATTCCCAAAAGTTTTATTGTGAATGTTAGGGAAAATAGTAAGCAAAATGATCCTAATTCTGCTGCATCGTACAACTGTGATTCAGAATAGCTCTAGCACTTTTACTCAACCTTTCTAAACTTACTCCTATCAGATCAGTAGAGTTAGAAAATTAGTATATCCTTTTCTAAGCTGGGATTTACAGTGGTAAAAACAAGAAACGTCATCTCATAGTTGGGATTAGCTCAGTTTCTAAATGCATGGACTTACGTAAAAAGAGTTTGGGCTTTCTGTTGGACTTGATTTGACTTTAAAGTTTCTATTAGAAATCAGATGCAGCTGGAAGCCCAGAAGTGTCATCCTGTCTGATACTGGTGGGAAATGTTGCTATTGCAGTTGCTGTATTGCCGTTCCCTTCTCTCACCATCATTTTCCATCTCTGGTGTGGTGATTCTGTCCTAGGATGGCTTAAACATACTTGTTATATCTCTACTGCCTGCAGTCAGACTATCTAAATACAATATATTATATCTATCTATTATATGTACATATAATGTACACACATATATACATATGTACATTATCTATCTATTCTATGTATAATCTATCTATTATATCTAAATACACCGGGAAATTATGCATAACAAAGTAGTACCGCGGCAGCCCTTTGAGTTAGGGTAGCAATTTTGTAATGAGGAAGAAATGGAGTAGAGAAGTTAAATGTCTTGTGAAGAGCTGTACGGGAAGAATAGATCAGGCCCTAGACTGGAGTCCGAGCCTGTGCTTTCCTTCAGTGCATGGCTTGCTTCTGGTACGTGTTGAAACTGGGAGAATTTGAAAGTGTCCAAAAACAGTTAAAAAACCCTGAAAAAGAACAAAACATTCAATGCCAGTTAGGTTTCACGTTGTGTACCATCACTGCAAAATTTTCTTGGAGACTCGTTGCTACCTTTTCTGTCTCAGAGCTCGTTGCTCTGCATCTGAGCTCTCCACAGCAGTGGCATTTTGGTCAGCTCGTGGTGTTCTTCCTGTAAGTGAAGAAGTCAGGCATCTTCTGTGGCTACACCTAGCCTTGAAATTTTGTATTTCTTGGTCTAGGTAGGAACAGCTGTAGGAAAGCCTGTGTTCTTTAATACCTTGACTCAGGAAAGCACAGAAACATGTACCTGGAGATAAGGTTGCATTGCAGTAGGGCTATATTTAGTGCTGTATTAGGACTATATTTAACCATTCTTTTGATAAAGTTGAATTCTGATAGTGTAATTTCCATATCAGAGGGCCTATGGCCTTGCTCCAGTCCTAGGGCTCTGTTTCTCACTGTGCGTGCAAAGTTTTGATTTCCAGAGACAAGATTTTGTAGTGGTTGAATCAATCTGGCTGAGCACACGAGGTCTTACATTCCTCTCCCAATAGCCTGCTGCTTCCAACACCAGTTTATCTGATGTGTAAACTGGCCAGCAGGTTTTCATAAAATCTTTCTTTTTCTTCAACAGTTTAATCCCTTGGTCTTTTCTCAAGAAAAATTCTTATGACTACAGTAAGTATTCTGCCTGAGGCCTGTAGAATGATACCCAAGGTTTAACTCTGCTGTTTGACAGTTCTTGCTTATAACACACTGAGAAATTATTCAGTATGAATCCCTGGTGGATCTAATTACAACCTGTCAACAAACTGGGTGTGGACAAGAAGCTGAACATATTTTAAAGTGTTGTTATTAGTTTTAAGCAAGGAAAATAATTTGATGGTATTTTAAGAATGTCCCACCGGTTCAAAAAGGCCCCAAAGTAGTATTTAAAAGCAGTTCCTCATAATCATCCTCAAAGACAGTGGTGCAGGATTCCTGTGTTATGGTTAATGGAAAATAATATTTTCATGGACAAACAGAGGTGGAGGATCTGTTCCATGTAACACATTTTTCCACTACAGCACCATGGTTTTCAGTAGTGTTGCTTTTAAACCCCTCCCAAGGTTTAAAATTATGGGGAAAAGGTTAGTGGAAATGCTCTGAGTTTAATACAAAGTTCTCAGCAGATGTAATGTTGCAGTTCACTGTAAAATGAAATTAGCATGCCTTCTCTGCTTCTATATTTTTTTCATACTTGGTATTTAATCATCAACTGTACTGTCTGTTTGGGCAGTACAAAAGCTTCATCAAATCTGCAGTTGAGATTTTCTAGTGCTAACATGCTTTTCTTTTTTCCCTTTAACCTCTCCCCGTGTGCCCTGTTGAAAAGAAAGGGGGAGAAGGATGTAGGGGTCAGCAGGGCCGTCTTGAATTGCCTGGGCTCTGGATGCTATGGCTGGTGGCAGTCTGATTCGGCGTGGGGTAAGGGGAGGGAGGGGAGCAGAGTGTCAGACATCTTCCTGATGTCTCCCTCTCAATGCTTTTTCAATTCTGCTCAATTGGATGACAGCAGTGATCTTTTGCTAGGTCTTCAGGGGGTATAATCTGTAAAATATAAATTTCCTTGCCTTTCGGAGTATGTTTCTACAGATGCCTGACCTTTACTTTGCTCTGGCTTTCCAATTCTGCATTATTTCAAAAAATAATTTGGTCTTACGGGGAGCTGAAGAGCCTGCCTTAGCCAAGTGGCTGCCAACCCACCTTCATTCTTTTAGCAGCATTTCCAGTGCTTTCCCTGAGATGGCTTTTTTTTAAACAAACAAACAAACAAACAAACAACAGAAACTTGTATTTGTTTTTTTTTTTTTTTGTAATCATGGAGGCCATTTAATCAAAATATTTAATTATGTCTCTCTCCAATTTAGGTCTGGAGCCAGTTTGGCTTTGTTATAATTAGAACAAGATTTTCTAAATGACAACCTTTTTCAGTGGCTTTCAACTCAATTAGAGATCAGAATCTTAACTTCTGTTTAGGGCAGGCATTCAGAAAAGTCTCTGAGTATATCTGTAACTCATGCTGACTTCAGTGGTATTGTTCACAGCACTGCACGGTGCAGATAAGCTTATGCTTAAATGCTTTGCTGGCCAAGGCCTGAATATTAACACAGAGCTGGGGAATTTGAATGTGTTTTACCAGGTCAAAGAAAAAAACAAGTTATAAATATCCGTTTTAGAACAGCCCTTAAACTTACTGATTTAGTTTTTAACTTCAATGAATTTTATTGGCATCTGAATTCCCAAGTGGATTGAGTTAGCAGCAAAGTGACCCCAAGTCATAGAGGGAATATGTGGGACTGGCAGAATGTGTTTGGATGTGTCAGACCCCATGCCTGTTGGCTGTTGTGGTTGGGTTTTTTAGTGCCAGCCTTGAACTGCAGAGTGCCCTGTACATGGAGTGCTAGAAAAAATGCCCAGGCACTACCGTGGTCTTGGGAAGCATGGAGAGCCAAGTAAGCAGAGGGCTGGAGCCAGATTCGGTGATGTATTCAGGTGTTGTGATGGGGCAAGGATTAGTCAGGGATATGTATCTCTATACAGCATTGGCTCTCCCCAAACACGATGCAGTTTAATTTGTACTGATGCAACTGAGTAGCCAGCTCTGCACTTTCTCTGTACCCAGGA